CAAGTGCAACAAGGAAAAGTTACATCTTGCAACCACACGCTGTGTACTTAATAAAATTGTTAACTTTTATTTAAAGATTGCCTCAGCTCCGTCTATTCTGAGTCCAAAGTGCAATTTCTCACAATATTACAACTTACCTCACGTGGTGGCAGAAACGTAGGGAAAAGTAACCAAATAAATCTACATTCTTCTCTCCAGTCACGCTACAGTATATACAGTGTAATTATTACTAAGTTATTACTTTCTTAATAAAGGAGGAGGTGCAATTGAACAGCCTCCCTTCTAACTTGATGGTAAATTTGGTTCCTAATCGGCAACCTCCATTGCAAGTCGGCTAAGTCTTTTTAAAATTGGGAACTGGGGAAAAATCTCCTGAATACTGGTTCCTTTCAAATTGGTGGCAACAATAAATCATCCCCCAGCTCCCCTGCTTCTTTTCAAATTGGTGGCAGACGACGGGATACGATTAACAACTGATTGAGTGCCTTAAGACTACTTTGAGAATAATTTGTGAGGTAAAAGTTATTGAAATATGGCTACCAGATGACAGAAAAAACTTGTTGAGGAAACAATGGGAGACCAAGAAGGAAGTTTGGGCTCTGAAGCAGAAACAGAGCCAGTGTCTGTGTCAGAAATGGCACAGACTAGAGATGAAACGATTGGAAATAGAGGCAAAACAAAGGGAAAGAGAGTTTGAGGAAAGACAAAAAGAGAGAGAACAGGAGATAGAATTGAGGAGAATGGAAATTGAACTGCAAAAGCAAAAAATTAGCCCACCACCCCCCCTCACTTCCTCTGAGGATGCTTGCCATAGATGCAGGCGAAACGTCAGGAGAAATGCCTCTAGAACATGGCCCTATAGCTCGAAAAAACCTACAAGAACCTAGTATTTCCTAAATTTACTAAGGATGACGATATAGAGAAGTTTCTAACCTTGTTTGAGCGATGTTGTAAAGATTTTGGAGTTGCTGAGGAAAAATGGATGACGTACTTAAGGCCTCAAATAAGTGGAAAGCTCTTAGAAATATATGGAGAAATGCCTGAGGAGTCCTATGGGGATTATGATTTATTTAAGAGACAGGTTCAACAGAAATTTCAATTAACACCTGAATTTTACAGATTCAAGTTCAGGACTCTGAAAAGAGATAAGAACCAAAGTTTCGCTCAGGTGGCCTCTAGATTGTCTCAACTGTTCGATAGTTGGCTAAGGACGTCTGAGGTGGAAAATTACCAACAACTGAGAGAACTTTTAAAATTGGAACAATTTTTCCAATTGATACCTTCCGATTTTCGGTGGCTGGTACAGGATCGAAAGCCATCCACTGTAGTAGAGGCAGCGGTTATGGTAGATCAATTAATTACCCTAAAAGAAGGATTCAAAAGGGAAGATCTGCCAAATGATAAAAGGACAAACAGGCAGCCATTTTACCAACATCAAACGCGCCCACAACAAGGAAAAGGTCCTGCAATAGAAAACCCCTCCTGGAGGAGGCAGAGTGTAACAAGTCAAACTGCTCCTGAGGGAAAAATTAGGTGTTTTCAGTGTGGAAAGTGGGATCATATAAGGTATCAATGTCCCCTTTTAAGAAAAGAAAAGACAACCCTCTTCGTTAATAAAGTAAAAGAAACAAAGAAAACAGAACCAAATACTGTGTCAAAGGAGAGTTCGGAAACGGTGCCTCAAGAGAAACAATGTTTGTTCATTTTGTCAAACACCGCAACTGAGGATTACTTAGAATCCATTTCCATTGACAACAAAGACATGAGAGGGTGGCGGGACACAGGATCTGATGTGTGTATTATACATCCAGATATAATACCTCAGAAATTTCAGCATCCTACCTCTGAAATAAGATTAAAAGGCTTGGGACCTGCAATACCAACAGCAGTAGTGTCTTTGCCAATAGAATATGGAGGTTGGAAGGGTATGTGGGATTTTGCAGTCAGTCCAGACATACCATACAGGTGTTTAATTGGAAATGATCTGGCTAAAAAGATTGGAAAGTGGAGAATGATGTGTGAGGAGGAAGAATATAACAGCAAAAGCCCTGATCAAAAAGCCATGTGTTTCGCCATACAACAGGAGGGGGATGAGAATCCAGAATCCAGCACTATGGTTGCTGAGCTTATTAAGAAGACAGGAGGAGTCAGAGAAA